CTACTCTGTCCTGTAGGGTCATTATAGGGTCGCTATGAGTTGTAATCCACTTGACAGCAACGGGTTTGGTTTTGGTTTGGATACATCTTTGTTTCAAGTTTTACATTCCAATCACTAGTTATTATCAATGCATCCCGATTGCATGTTTGATCAATTTCAGACTGCAAAAGTTGGTAAAAATCTTCAATTTCTTCATATTTGGCCTTAGTGGTTGCTGTATAAATTTGAATCATAGTCATATTAACTGGTCTTCCTTGTAGGCATATGGATATTATCCTATTACCGACAGTGTTGATGATGGGGTCGCTATGAGTCGGAACAACTTGATGAAACCTAACAACAAGTATTTTCTAAAGGAAAACAAACAAACCAAAAAAGATGCCTTAATTTCTCAGGCTACTTTCAAGAACCAATTTATTTTTCTTTTTTACTATTATCTTGATAAGCTATTTTGCCTTCTCATCTCAACTTTCCTCTTAACCGTCTTTTAACCTTTTTCTAACCTTCCATATCCATCCTAATTTTCTTTTCTCTTTCTCATTCTGGAACAACTAGTTTCTTTCAATTTAGGACAAAATTACTATTTTTTCTCTCAACAAAACACATTCCGTATACTTAATCTAGCCTAAGTAGCTTGGAAACTGATTTTAAATTGACATAAAACTTTGTCAGAAGGAATTTATTCTCATTAATTCTTTCGAGTATTTGGACTATTAAACTTACATAAGTGCTTATTTATCATTAAACCAATCAGAATAAAGCTCTTTGATAAACTATTATAATCTATTTTATAGTATCTCCACAGGTAGAATATTCCACCAGGGTCCACAAGGACTCAAAAGGACATATCAACTAGGCACTGAGATAAAGACAATAGATGGGACAGTCTTGGAAATTATCTTTTAGGGAAGAAAAATATCTTTTAGGGAAACTTTCACGTAAAGCTAATCAAGCAGAACACAAAAGCCTTCCCACTCTTATCTTTTTCTATTAGCATTCAGTGAACAGAAATTTGTTGGACCAATGAAGACCCTCCTGACTGTTCTTACTGAAAGCTCTACAAATGATTGTTAAGAAAGATGATTCAAAATGTCAGATTACAATTTCTAGCCAATCTGTGAAAAGGTGAAGCTTTCAATGATTCTACCCATTTTGTGATGTAACCTTCCTTGGAATCGGGCAGACATTAGCTCTGGCAGCATGCTTGTCCGCTTCCCACGTTTGCTCTTTTGAATATATGCCAAATAAAACTTTATTTTTGCTTTATTAAACTTTGTGATGTTTTTTCCCTACAACAGAATACAATAATGTCATTTTTTTTATTATTATGTTCATTTTTTCCTTAATTTCAAAATTCCCCAGATTGACTGTTGTTGCTGTTAGATGCCATCAAGTCGGTTCTGAGTCATAGTGACTCCATGTATAACAGAATGAAACACTGCCCAGATCTGCGCCATCCTCACAGTCATTGTTATGCTTGAGCCCATTGTTGCAGCCACTATGTCGATCCATCTCTTTGAGGGCCTCCTCTTTTTCATTGACCCTCTACTTTACCAAGCATGATATTCTTCTCCAGGGATTATTCCCTCCTGATAACATGTCCAAAGTACATGAGAGGAAGTCTTGGCATCCTCTTTTCCAAGGCGCACTCTGGCTGTACTTCTTCTAAGACAGACTTGTTTGTTCTTCTGGCAGTCCATGGTATATTCAATATTCTTTTCCAACATCATAATTCAAAGGCATGAATTCTTCTTTTGTCTTCCTTATTTATTGTCCAGCTTTCGCATGCATATGAGGCGATTGAAAACACCACGGCTTTAGTCAGGCGCACCTTAGTCTTCAAGGTGACATCTTTGCTTTTTAACACTTCAGAGAGGTCTTTTGCAGCAGATTTGCCCAATGCAATGCGTCTTTTGATTTCTTGACAGCTGCTTCCATGGGTGTTGATCGCAGATCCAAGTAAAATGAAATGCTTGACAACTTCAATCTTTTCCCCATTTATCATGAGGTCGCTTATTGGTCTGGTTGTGAGGATTTTTGTTTTATGTTGAGGTGTAATTCATACTGAAGGCTGTTTTCTTTGGTCTTCATCAGTAAGTGCTTCAAGTTCTCTTGACTTTCAGGAAGCAAGGTTGTGTCATCTGCGTAACGCAGGTTATTAACAAGTCTTCCTCCAATCCTGATGCTGCATTCTTCTTCATATAGTCTAGCTTCTCAGATTATTTGCTTAGCATACAGACTGAATAATATGGTGAAATGATACAACACTGACGCGTGATTTCCTGACTTTAAACCAGGCAGTATCCCCTTGTTCTCTTCAAACAACTGCCTTTTGATCTATGTACCGCTTCCTCATGAGCACAGTAAAATGTTCTGGGATTCCCAATGAATTTAATAATTCAATATATGTTTAATAATTATGAGTTGTGATTTCAGACCTTTTTTTTAATATTTCTGTTTTCCCCATTTTCTAAAGTGAATTGTATTTCCTTTATAGAGAATAATTACTCTTTATAGAAAGAAAGGTAGAGGCAGGAAGTTCAGATAACAGGAGGAAACTCAGCTATGATAACATATTTTCTCTATTACAAAACTGAAAAGACTGGTTTGCTACAGGGATAAGGCTGAACCCACTGCAAATGGCATCTAAGGAACTTCTCTGGCACTACGAGCTCCTACTCAGCCTTCTCTTCCTCTGCTGTCTCTACACATTCCACATTCTGGCCAAAAGTTCTAATTATTGTGTGGAACATGTTGCTCTTTTATGCTGTGGTAGGCTTTTTCATGCTATTGCTTCTCTCTGGATTCCCATCCTGTTCAGCTATCTGCTCCAACGCCACCTCTCTCAAGTGCCCCGGGCAGCTCTGTGATGCTCTCCCCAGCAACCCCTGCTGAGGATTGACCTTGTTTCAGTCCAAATGATGGGCCCGCCCCAGGGTCTGATCTGCCCAGCACACAATGCGTCAGTGCCTTTTCTCTCCTGGGCAGCAGCCACTCTCTCCCCTCCTGAGGCCCTAACACACACTTCTCAGAGGAGAGGCACAGTCACAAAGGAGCACCTTGCCTCTCTCTTTCCTTTCTCTTCTTTCTGAGGTGGGTAAACTGGGGCACGGAGATAGAGGGTGGGGAGAGTGGACACCAGGCATCGTACTTTAGGTTTCTGGCTGCAGATAGCTTGCCCACTGTTCCTGTTGCTTTTCTGGAGGAATTCAGGGAAGATCGCAGGATGAGGTGGTGTGTGCATAGTACAAACTTGGTGTTGCAGAATGTCTCAGGAGCAGGCAGAGTAGACAGCCCTGGACATTGTGCCAAGAACCTCAACTATCCTAGGGAATGGATGATTCTGGAGACATTTCAGTGTCTTGGATAACACGTTACACCACAGCATATCAGTAAAGTATTTATTTAATTTACCTATTGACATATGCAGCAAATCATGGATGAAGGTCTAATTGTCATAGGGAGGATTATGTCACTTTTGTAAGTTTTGGAAGACAGACTCAAATGTGATCCTTGGTCAGGCCCCAGAAGTTGCAAATATCATTTCCTGGGCTTAGAAATGTGCTACTAGGGGAAGTATTCCAGAGAGAGGATATGTTGTTTTTCTTCTCCCTTTCTGTGTCTGGATTAAGGTAGCTTTGTGGCCCCCATGAAACAATACAGAATACTTTTTCTTCCCTGAACTCTTTTGTAATGTCCCAAGAGAGTCTATCATTCAAATTCAAAAGATTTTCAGCACAGACGAACATTCCTGGAATATTAGAAATCTTTGCCCTGATCCCAAAATGTAGTCTCTGCTTCCTGAGCCAGTAGAGGCCTGCTTTCTCTGTTGAAAAGCTCTTGCTGTCTAGCAGCCTCTGGTAGCCTCATCATTTTCTTTGCATCCTCTCACACAATAAATCTGAGTGAGTTTTCACATAAGGATTTGTCTTTTATACCTTTAGAGTAAAATAATAGAGTAAACTTTGATTTATTTTGGTTTTCTGAGTAGTCACAGAACTGTATTTATTTTATCTGTGTTCAGTCAAGTATAAACCTTTCCTAACCATTTGTTCTTAGGGAAGGGTGAAATAAGCCTTCCAGGTACAGTGTACAGAGGGTGCAATGGACAGACTGGAATTGAGTAGTCATTTCAAATGTGGTGCTAATATCCTGATTATCTTTGCTTTAGGTGGTTGTATTAGAGTACAACACTTGGAGGCAGTATTTCGGAGCATCATGCTAAGAACACACCATGAGGAAAAATGGCCAACTCTTTCCCAGTAATCTACTTGCTTTTATTCTTCAGCCTGATGTATTCTGTGGTACTTTCTGGTGAGTAATTTGGCTGTTCCTGGTTGGCATGTGAGTTTGATTTGTGGGCTCTGACATTGTAATCCAAAAGAAAATGCTTTGAAATTAAAAGGAAAAAAATTATTTGAGTGGATCATTTTACCATATCTATTTATCTATATAGACAGAGACCAAGAAGTGAGATGCAAAATGTTTTGGACTAATAGACAGGGGCTTCAGTTTCTCCATCTACTACATGTGAAGGAAGGAGGGAGTTTAGATGAATCAATGCAACATTTAAAAATGACTGGCAATGTGCCTTAACAAGAGCCCATCACAATAATTCAGATCCTTTGAAAATGCATTGCCATATATTTGAATGGATCTTTATCTTTTGTGTTCTATTCTAGAGAAGTCATGTAGCAAGTTATAAAGAGACCTAGCCTCAAGGACTAGAGATCCTGTTTTTTTTTCACATATCTACCATGAATTCCTGTGTATTACATAAGCCAGTATCTTCCCTCTTTCTGAAATATGGGGATTGGGCTAAAAGATCACATCAAAGCTCTAGCATTTTCTGATTTTTTTCACATGTTGATTTCTTCTATATGTTGAATCCTGTCAAGCCGAGGCTAATAAATGTTCATAAAAAATCTATAGGGAATTATTTGGTAGTCTGGACTGACAACAATTATTAGAGTAGTGATACATCCATTTAGTCTTTCGCCATGTGTAACAAGCAGAGTTATTCCACATTTTCAATAAAAAGTATGAATATATGTGAAAGTTAAATCATATTTTCAATTATTGCAAACTTCCTTGATAATAAATTAACACTCTTTTATTTTACTAACAGATTTAGGTATGCTTTGCCAGAGATTCACCTTTATAACTATTTTCAACTATGCTCTGGTTTCAGGACATCGAGAGTGGTGGCCACCATCAGGACCTTTTAAGGTACTGTCCCACTAGATTTCTGAGATTCTAATCTGAGTTTTCTTTGGAGGTGCCATTTTACAATCTCACTGCTGCAAGGTCATCTGTAACATTCATCAAGGCTCACCATATGAGTGTGGCAGGTTAACAGCAGTCACAGGAGCCCAGAGGAGAGTGATCCAAACTGGGAACTAAGGCTGGATGAGTCATATGTACACCAGGGAATCGTAATAGTGCCCAAAAAATCTTTATGAGCACCAGCAATTTCTAGGTGCATGGCAGGTTCTTAAGAGCCTACAGACTTGGGCATCACATGGTTCCTGGTCTCAAGAAGCTCAAGGTTTGGTGGAGGCAATGGCTGTAAGAAATGCTCCTAAATGCCCTGAGATGTGCAAAGACTATCAATGTGAGTTAGGAATAAGGAAAGCAACCTCTAGAATATGGATAGAGAAAAATGTAAAGGAATAAGAAACCTCAGAACAAGGCCTCAAATTATGTTTGCAGCTTGCATGAGGGCAAAATGAATGAGACATCGTTTTCATTTTTGCCTACTCCTCCCAGGATGGAGCATATTATGAGGTCAATAAATGTTTAGCAATTGAGGGAAAAAATGAAAGAGAGATTATTCTTTTCATTTTGGTGTACATTGCAGCAATGTACTCCTTCACTTCAAGAAAATTTATGCTGTAATCTCACTAGTCAATTAAAAAGTCAATTTTTTTTTTCTTTTTGAATGAAAGTCAATCACTAGTAGACTGGCAAGAGAGTTATTTTGAGTGTAGCTGAGCCTTTTAGATCCCTGGGTGGTGCAAACTATTTTTGATAGACTACTAACCTAAAGGTTGACCGTTTGAACCCACCCAGTGGCTGTGGAACAAAGGCCTGGCAACCTGCTGCTATAAAGATTGCAACCAAGAAAATCCTATGAAGCAGTTCTACTCTGTAACACCTTGATTCTCCATGAGTTGGCATCTACTCAAAGGCAATGGATTTGGCTTTGGTTTTTAGGGGGACTTCTAGGGCCCTATGAATCAGAGTGTAGAACCTGACAGGGCTACAGTTTTAGCAAAAGAATCTGTAGAACTTGTACAGGATTTAGACTCTGTTCCCATAGAGTTCAGTCCTAAAATCTTCCTCCTAGGAGGTTACTTGCAGGAGGAGTCCTCTCCTTACCCATCAGTTCCCAAACACTTACTCATTCTTACTTATTTTCTTCAAGAAATATTACTGATTGCCTGTGCTTTGCCCTGAATTTACAATATTGAGGAAAACAGATATATTTCCTTCTCTCATGAAGCTTAAAAATAGCAAGAAAAAAGGGAAAAATATGATTTATGTAAATTCTGTAAATAAAAGAAATAGGATGTTAAGAATGGAATATCTATTGGGGGAAGAGATACTACTATAAAAAATGTAATCAGTGAAGGTCTCTATGACATGGGGACACCTAAGCTGAAACTTGACATGTAAAAAGGAGCTACCTTGGTGGAGAGAAGTGAGGAAGACTCTATCTACTTGAGTCACTGACTGAAGGAAGACCTATGTGAGGGGATCACAGATAAGGAGGGAGGTGTAGGAGATGCTACAGTTACAACAGTAGGTGGAGAACTTTACCTACCTGATGGACACAAATCATACATGGAAGAGAAAAAAAATTATATTCATAGACAGTGATACTAACTATTCTTGCTCTTGTATTTAATTACTCTATTTTCCTTCAGATTGAACTATTTTATATGCCATTTATTCATTTTGAAAATATTTTTAGAGCCAGGAGACTAAGAGCCAGGAGATGTGCTGGACTCAGGGCACACAATGTTTACCATAATCAGACATAGACTTCACCCTCATGGGCTTATATTCCTTTAGAGGGTGTGGCATTAGTAAAGAATTACACAAGTACTTTTATGGATTGAATTGTGTTCCCCCCAAAAAATGTGTGCTAACTTAGCTAGTCCATGATTCCCAATATGGTGTGATTGTCCACCATTTTTTCATACAATGTGGTTTTCCTACGTGTTGTAAATCCTACCTCTATGACGTTAATGAGGTGGGATTAGTGGCAGTTACGTTAATGAGGTAGGACTCAATCTACAAGACTAGGTTGTGTCATAAGTCAATCTCTTCTGAGATATAAAAGAGAGAAGCGAGCAGAGAGATAGGGAAACCTCAAACCATAAAGAAACAAGAGCCAGGAGAATAGTGCAACCTTTGGATCAGGGGTCCCTGCACTAAGAAGCTCCTCGACTGGGGAAGATTGATGACAAGGACCTTCTCCCAGAGCTGACAGAGAGAGAAAGCCTTCCCTTGGAGTTGGTACCCTGAATTCAGACTTCTAGCCTACTACACTGCGAGAGAATAAATTTCTCTTTGTTAAAGCCATCCACTTGTGGTATGTCTGTTATAGCAGCACTAGATAACTAAGATAACAAACTGATTGAATAGATAGAGGCAGATAGCTTCTGTTGAGTCGACTCTGACTCACATGACCTTATATGCAACAGAACAAAACGTTGCCCGGTCTTGCATCATTCATATGATTGCTGGCATGGTTGAGTCCATCATGGCTCTTGTGCCAATCCTTCTGACCGAGGTTCTCCCACACCCTTGTTGGCCCTCTACTAAACATGGTAATCTCCTCTAGTGATTAACCCTTCCTGATGATGTGTCTAAAGCAAGCAAGTCAGACAATGTTCTGTTTTGATCTATAAGGTTTTTGCTGACTAATTTTTGGAAGTAGATCACCAAGTCTTTCTTCCTAGTCTGTCTTAGTCCAGAAGCTCCATTCAAATATGCCCACCATAGGTGACCCTGCTACTATTTCAAATACTGGTGGCATAGCTTCTAGCATCATAGCAACACACAAGATACCACCGTATGACACACTGGCAGAAGGGTACTGACAAACTGATTAGAGGTATATAAAGAAAGAATGGGAAGTTGTGATTGTATTTAAAAAAATATATCTCTGAGAAAGAGGGTTTTAACTAGAGCTGTGAATGTATAATTAGTTTAAGTACAGAAAAAAAAAAAAAAAAGTGTGGTGGGGTGGGGTGCTCAATATAATCCAGAAGAATATCAGATGGAAGAAGAATGGAACATCTGAAAAAAATAAAAAAGGGGAAGGAGCAAAAAGCAAAGTGGTATAATGTAAGTTCAGAAGAGTTGGGAGGATCTAGTTCATATAGGATCTTTTAGCCCATAATAGGAAGATAGGATTTTTTTTTTTTTTTAATGTACAAATAATTGACATTAAAAGATCTCACTCAAGGGAATAAAGCAATTCAATTGTGGAAATTAGAAGAAATGGGAATACCTGAAATGGAGGAATTAGTTCAGTGACAGACATACAGGAGGCATGGGGGCCTGGCCATGGTTGAGATGATGGAGAAGAAAAGAAGAAAGAGATTCTCAGATCAAACATTATCCCTTTTTCTTTTATATACCAATCCAAACTTTCTCTCACCTTATACCTCCTGAGACACTTATTCTGTTCCTATCTCACGGCACTCACAGAGCCCACAACACTACCATCCTCAAGCTCCACCACCCAAGTCACTTCAAATCATTATTGACATCAGTATTGTTCAGGGAAGAATTCTCTCAGAATGTAAGGAGACCCTTCTTTACTTTCAGTTTCCCCTACAAATCAAGGAGTTGATCTAAATGGTTTCACATTCTACATGTTCAAGATAGGAGATGGCTTGAGGATTTTGAGAGTAGATGGTGACAACTATTTAAAATCAAGATGTAGATTTTCATGAAGTATCTTTTCCACTTACTGGGCTTCAGTTTCTTTGGCTGAGCTGGCATAAAAAAATCTCTAAAAGTCTTCCAAGGTCTAATAACCTGGGAATAAAGGAGATTGAGAAAGAAGCTAAATTTGGCAGAATGTTCTGTTTATTTCCTTTTCCTTTCCCCAGTGTTGCGTAGCAGGCCTCTGTTTTTTATTACCAAGCAGATCCTGAAAATGAAGGTATCATTTATTATCCAATGGAGAACACATAGATGCCTGTTCCATTACTATGTGAAGGCAAGGGCTGTGAGAGCTTTTGTGATCCTGGGACACGGTACTATGTTTAAGTTTTCCTAAACATAGTCCAGTGGTGACTTATCTGTCTGTGAGGGTGATTCTAATTGTATCATTCTCTTCAACCCAATTTCAGGTGAAATGTCCTTATAGAAAAGTAGACTTGAGTTGGTACTCTGGCACAGTGAACCCCTGCCCAAAAATACGTCAACCCATCTGTGGCACAAATGTACAAACCTATGACAACCCCTGCATCTTGTGTATTGAGAGTATGTGAGTATCATTTGGGGAAAAGAAGAGAAGGTTGAATAAGTTCACTCCGCAGAAATTACTATCTACCCCTCCCACCAAGCATGTTAGCCCTGAAGGCAGGAATTTGCTCAAGTTTGCACAGATAATCAGTTCCCACTCAGAAGAGCATATCCTAATAGAAAGGTCACTGGAGTAGAAAGTAGGCACCTTGCACTGAATGGTGTTATTCAGGTTCTTTTCTCTCTGAGCCCCTGTGTTCCCATACCAATTGATGGGTTTCCACTTGAATTCCTTAAATATCCCTGAGAGTCCTGAAATTCTTTGATTTAAAGATGAATTGTGGTTATGGCTTCTCTCAAATAGCTTCAATCCTTCAAGTGTTTGAACCTCTGAGCTAGGATGAGGCAGTTGAAAAGTTTGGCTCCTTTAGCTAAGAGTCAGCGCTTTGTCTTTTTGGATTTATATGGCATGATATCAATGATTTAAAAAAAAAATTGAAGAAACAAACCCGTTGCCATCAAGTCAAATCCAACTCATAGTAACCCTATAGGACAGAGTAGAACTGCCCCATAGGGTTTTCAAAGAGCGACCAGTGGATTCAAACTGCCAACCTTTTGGTTAGCTGCTGGTCTCTTAACCACTGCTCCAACAGGGCACACTGGGATTTCAGGTTTGATGCCTGTATGAGTCAGTGTAGTTCACAGGGAGAAAAATCTCTCCTCATGGCCTCAGAATGGAGTCCTCAGCCCAACAGCCATTCTGTGATTTTTTTTAAAGAGCACACAACAGGACTATGTAAAGCCCTGTTTATCCACAGTGATGAGTAATTCAGCCAAAGTGTGGGAGTATTAACAGAATAAGCTGAGGATTGATATGCCTCACATTTCAAAAACTCAGGCCTGACTAAAAAAGCTCATTATCAAAGAGACTGTAGCATATGTCATAATATCTTCAACGGCATCTTATAATCATGGCATACCAACCAAAAAAAACCAAACCCGTTGCCATGGAGTCAAATCAGACTCATATTGACCCTATAGGACAGAAGAGATCTGCCCCATATGTTTCCAAGGCTGTAATCTTTATGGAAGCAGAGTGGCTGGTGAGTTGGAACTGCCAATCTTTCAGTTCATAGCCGAGTGCTTAACCACTGTACCAACAGGGCTCCTTGATTACTGAATAGGAAATCCAAATAACCTGGCTTTTGTATTTAGTCAGTTACCTTTATACTCTGGCTGTTAGTGTTTTCAAATATAAAATAAAGGTACTAGATTAGGTCAGCAAGCCCTGGTGGTGCAGTGGTTAAAGAGCTCGGCTTCTAATCAAAAGGTCAGCAGTTGAATCCACCAGCTGCTTCTTGGACACCCTATGGGGGCAGTTCTACTCTGTCCTATAGGGTTGTTATGAGTCAGAATTGACTAGACGGCAACGGGTTTAGATAAGATTACATTTTAAGTATTCTTTCAGTTCTGACTTTCTATTATTTAATAAAATGTATAATCTAACTCTTTCTTTAGGAAATCTAGGGGAAAAATTAAGTTTTCCCATGATGGACACTGCTAGCTGAGTGGATGTGGATGTGGAAGAAGATGTCTTCTTTTTTTTAACAACAACAATCTTACTTTTATCCCTTGCCCCTCCTTGCATGTATGCTTGGTCGCAGACAGGTGCACCTACTGAGCTTGTAGCAGATAACTAAAGATGCTATTCCTCCTTTAAGCCTCTTCCCTCACTGATTCATTGTCTTCTATATTGTTCCTAAAAAAATAAACTTTTCTGAAACTTTCATTTGACTTGGGTCTCAAATCAGTGTGTCTCTTCTCAGAAGTAAAACAAAATGAATATTTCAGTCAAGGGTTAAAAACAAACACTAGGATTAATCAGCTCTCTGATACTTTGATATTATGGATTGAATTGTGTCCCCACAAAATATTCGTCAACTTGGCTAGGCCATGATTCACAGTATTGTGTGATTGTCCACCATTTTGTCATGTGATGCGATTTTCCTGTGTGTTGTAAATTCTGTCTCTATGATGTTAATGAGATGTGATTAGTGGCAGTTATGTTAATGAAGCGGGACTCAATCTACAAGATTAGGTTGTGTCTTAAACCAATCTCTTTTGCGATACAAAAGAAAGAAGTGAGCAGAGAGACATGGGAACTTCATACCACCAAAAAACAAGAGCCGGGAGAATAGAGTGTCCTTTGGACTTGGGGTCCCTGCACTGAGAAGCCCTTCATCTGGGGAAGATTGATGACAAGGACCTTTGCTCAGAGTCAACACAGAAAGAGAGCCTTCCCCTGGAGATGGCACCCAGAATTTGGACTTCTAGTCTCCTAGACTGTGAGAGAATAAATTTCTCTTCGTTGAAGCTATCCATTTGTGGTATTTCTGTTATAGCAGAACTAGATAACCAAGACGTTTGAATAATGGAGTAGTCCATGTAAAGAGCTTCAGGCTGTCTTCCAAGAAACAAGACAGAAATTTATTTCATATTTCTTTGGCATTTTTAAAACCAGTTTACAGGAATTATGGAGAACTTTGCACTGCCTGGCCATTCCTGTTGTCTACATTCTGCAACTCCTCATTAAACAACCTCACTTTTAATATCAGACTTGAAGCAGAGAAATTTACCTATGCCTAGCTTAGGTCAAAGGTCCCTAGGTGACATAAACAGTTTGTGTTTGACTGCTAACTTGAAGATTGGAGGTTCAAACCCACCCAGTGGTAATGCAAAAGATAAGCTTGGCAATCTGCTTCCTTTAAGATTACATCCAAGAAATCTGTACGGAGTAATTCCACTCTGTAACATATGAGGTCACCGTGAGTCAGAATCTACTTAAAGGCAAACTAAACAACAACAACAAGCATGGGTCAACATGACTCAGCATCTTCACTGGCCCCACTTTTCTCCGTATAAGTTGGCCTACTTGGATGGTATCCATCATTGTCTTGTTAGTATTTTTTTTGCCTATAATGCAGCATAATACATTTCTAAATTTATGAGGGTTAGGAGTCAGGATCAGCACAAAGCTGGTTCCTATGAGGTCAGACACACCTCCACTTTCCAATTTTTTTACCATTTTTGACACAAGTTGGTCCCCCCAAGGCATCCTCTACTTCCCTGCTGCGTTTGATAATTTGTCCAGTGGCTACGCAGAACTCACAAACCACACTCACAGTTGTGTGGTTTGTTAGGGAAGTAACAGACTACAACTGGGGATTAGGATCAACTTGGAAGTAATAGAAACACCTAGGTATCAGGATCAGGAAGTAAGGTCTGGAAGGCTCCCTCACAACTGAGAGTGTATTCCTCCCTTCTTTAATTCGGGATGGCTTTTAACCAGGATAGCTCTTCCAGCTGCTCTCTGCCAGTGGTCTCTCTGCTGCTACTGGCCCAGCTGATGGCCAGTGTAGCCACCTGCTCAGCTGTGCAGACCCTCTCAGCCATACAGTGCATGCCCTCTCAGTCGTGCAGTGCAGGCCCTCTCAGTCATACAGTGCAGGCCCTCTTAGCCTTGCAGCACAGGCCCTCTTTGCTGCCAACTCTGCTTCCAGGCCCCATCTGGGCCTCTCATAGTCTTTAGTGTTACAGTCCATGACTCATATTACAGGTCTTCTAGGAAGTTTCTCACATAGGAACCCTGGGTCCAAACCACTCTGCTCCAAGCTCTTCTTGGTCTTAAGGTTCACCCCTCCCCTCTCTAAAAATCTCTGTGGGGTTGGCCACTTATATAAGCTAACTCCTTGTCAATTTCAAGATGTGGCCATCACAGCAGAACTATGAACTGACCAATCCCCTCAGTAGACCAAATTTGCTCAAACCAATCGGGTGGTTTTACTCACTATCTTTCTGACTAGTTGATCAACCAAACCTTGAAAGGTGAATAAAATAGAAAATCATAGGCGAGACTGCAGCCCAACCAATTATTTTCTGGCATAATTACAAACCCAGGGCCATGAAGGCCATGTAAAAGAGAAACTTATTGCACAGTAGGTCAATGAGTAGGTAAAAAGGTCAGGCCACCCTCTGACCTTTTTTGCCATGGGTTTTATACATACTTAGTATTTGGAGGGTTACTTCTCCCTTCCCATACATTTTACCAGTCCAGGTAAGTCATTAACAATTAGTCTACTGTCAGGGCAAATATTCTTCTCAGGATGAGGTAGCTCAAGTACCAACCACTCAAGTCTGCTGCAGTGTCCATCTGATCTGCTCAGGTTCTACAATCAGGTATCATCTCAGCTTCGCTTCTCCTAGTACGTGGGATTGTTTGGCTAAAAAATCACCACTTCTCTTGCTCTGAGCCTCTCTTGATGTATCAGCATACCAAAACTTTTAGGGGACATTAGGTTTTGCAACTGTAATGCTCTAGCCTAGCATGTGCCTCCTCCTTTCTTAGTCCACTCTTCCACAGTTATGTTTTTATAATTACATTTTTCACAGTTATAATTGTCTCCATTTAGTAATCATTACTTACAGCTGAATAATAGTCATATCAGGATTAGCGCAAAGCTGATTCTTCTGAGGTGGAGGTCAAACATACCTTTACTTCCAATTTCTTTTTTTTTTTTTTTTTACCATTTTTGACAACAGCTGTTGCCCTCTTGCACTCTCCACTTCTCTGCTGGGTTTGATAATTTGTTGCAATGGCCACACAGTACTCACAGATCATACTCACACTTATGTGGTTTAGCATCAACTTGGAAGTAACAGAAACAACTCAGGATGAGGTCAGGAAGCACCTAGATAAGGTCTGGAAGACTCCATAAAATTGGAGAGTACATCCTTCCCTTCTTTAGTGCAGGACAGCTTTTAACCAGGTCAGCTCTCCCAGCTGCTCTCTGCCATCAGGTCTCTCTGCCATCAGGTCTGGCTACCATCAGGCACATCTGCCATCAGGCCTCTCCGCTGCTAACTGAACCAGCTCCTATACAGTGTAGCGGCCCGCTCAACTCTCCTAGCTGTTTTCTGCTGTCAGGTCTCTCTGAAGTCAAGCCTGCCCACCACTGGCCTCTCTACTGCTAACTCGCCCAGCTCATAGCCAGTGTAGAACCCTGTTCAGCTGTGCAGGTCCTCTCAGCCATGAAGTGCAAGCCATCTCATACACATAGTGCAGGCAATCTCAACTGTGCAGTGTATGCAGTCTCAGCCACTGGCTCTGTCACTGGGCCCCTACTGGGCCTTTTGCCATCTTTAGTGTTATAGCCCATGACCTCTATTATAGCACTTCTAGGAAGTTCCCTGTGCAGGAACCCTGGGTCCAAACCACTCAGCTCCAGGCTTTTCTTGGTCTTGAGGTTCATTTCTCACCTCTCTAAAAACCTGTGTGGGGTTGGCCGCTTATATAAGCAAACTCATGGTCAATTTCAACGTGTGTTCCTCCCAGCAGTACCATGAACTGACCGATCCCCTCAGTAGACTACAAGTTGCTTAATCCTATTGGGTGGTTTTACTCATTACCTTTCTGACTAGTAAACTAACCAATCCCTGCAAGGTAAGTAAAATAGACCAATCACAATGTAGACTACTGCCCAACTGATTATTTTTTGACAGAATTACAAACCCGGGGCCAGATAGGCCATATATAAGAGAAACTCACTGCACTGAAGTTTCTTCCTAAAATTTTCTTGACACATTTTAACTTCTGAAGCATATAGGGGCATGCTCATCTTTGAGTTCTATTTCTTCTGCATACATATATGCTCTTAATGAGCACAGAGTAATATGAACAGGTATACTCTCTTCCCCTCAACAGCTTTCTCCCAGCTAGTTTCAGAAGGAACATCTATTTTACTTCCTGGTACCTTGTAAAGCTGTGGTCAGAGTATTTCTATGTTCTGTTAAATGACTGAGCTTCATCAGTACAGCCTTTGCCTAGATGAACACACGGCTCCAGGGAAAAGGAGACAAATCTCCTCTTCCTCTTCTTCTCCCTCTTCCCCCTCCCTTACTCCCTCTCTCCCTCTCCTCCACTTTCTCTCCAGCACCAGCTGTCTTGTTCCCCTTATGTTTTACCTTCTAATTATTGATCATGGAGTACTGATGGTTCAGTGATAGAATTCTCACCTCCCACACAGGAGACCTGATTTCTTTTCTTGGCCAATCACTTCATGTGCAGCCACCACCCATTTGTCAGTTTGTGGTACTGTGGTGGCTTACGTGTTGCTGTGATGTTGGAAGCTATGCCACCTATATTTCAAATACCTGAAGGGTCATCCATGGTGGGCAGGTTTAAACAGAGCTTCCAGATTAAGACAGACTAGGATGAAAGGCCAAGTGGTCTACTTCTAAAAACCAGTCAATGAATATGGATTAAAAAGGAATATTGTCTGATCTGCAACTGATCATGGGAATGATGTAGGACCAGGCAGTATTTTGTTCCATTGTACATGGGATCACCATGAGTCTGAGCCTGCTCAAAGGCAACTAACAACAACAAATTAGTCATCAGTCCCAGGCTTTTGTATTTCTCTTTTCTTTCTACACCTTAATTCCTCTGCTTGATGATACCACTCACATCTATATACTTGTAAATCATATAGCCAGATCATTAGATTG